AGAGTGTGTCCAGAGGAGGGCGACCAGGATGGTGAAAGGCCTCAAGGGCAAGACTTTACAAGGAGCGGCTGAGGTCACTTGGTTAGTTCAGCTTGGAGAAGAGAAGGCTGAGGGGTGACCTCATGGCACTCTACACCTTCCTTAAGAGGGTCAGCAGCGCAGGAGGTGCTGATCTCCTCTCTCTGGTGACCAGCGACAGGACACGAGGAAACGGAGTGAAGCTGCATCAGGGGAAGTTCAGGTTGCACATTAGGAAAAGGTTCTTCACAGAGAGGGTGGTCGGTCACTGGCACAGGCTCCCCAGGGCAGTGGTCACGGCACCAAGCCTGTCAGAGTTCAAGGAGCATCTGGACAACACTCTTAGTCATATGGTTCAGTTTTAGGTAGTCCTGCGAGGAGCAGGGAGCTGGACTCAATGATCCTTATGGGTCCCTTCCAACTTGAGATGTTATATGATTTTAACTTATGGAAACACGAGCCTCTTCTGTTACAGCAACTTCATCATCTCTATATAGAAAGGAAAACACTCAAAAGAAAAATGACTAATTTTTCAAGACCTTTATGAAGATTTGTGTAATTCACATTCAGTGTATCACTGCAAAAAGTAATTTAGTGTAATTCATAGACAGGTAAATTACCTAACTGGATTTTTAGAAGGTACTGAGGCATCTACCTCTCCTTGTTTTCTTTACTAAATATATTTTTTAAAATCCAGACCCTAGAATCAAGGCAGCGAAACACTGATAGCTAGGTATAGATACTTGCAGGATTTTAAACCAGAAAAAAAGGCTTCAACAGGATTTTCGCTAGGGTGCGCTCGAAGAACATGGCTTTTGCTTTTGGGGAAAGGACTGTGGCACTGTCCAACTGTGTCACTGGCCCTGAGCAACCCCCTCTAGTTGAACCTGCTTTTATCGGGGGGCTGGAGTAGGTGATCTCCAGAGGCCTCTTCCAACATGAACGATTCTGTAATTTTGTAACTCATTTAGCATGAGCAATTTTTTTTTCACAGAAGAGAATATTAGCCTATTTTCTGTAGAAACAAAGCTGTAAGTGCAGAAGGCAGTACAAAAGTACGTGCAATGAGAGCTCTGAGCTCATGTGGTTGATTATATCTGCTAGGGCATTAAAATGCTGAAATCAGTCTTTATAATTTGAAAACTTAAGAATACAATTGCATCTCTCTGATCCAAAATCTTTTTAAAAGACTTCCCAGAAATGTGTATGAAAATAGCATATTTTTGTTGTTGGGAAATACTATTGAGTTGCGCCAGGGTGGTTTCTGGGTGATCATCCTGTGAGCCTTAAACTTTCTGAAAAAGAGTATTATGGAGCTGCACAAATGTCTTTTGGCATCAGATCTTTAAGTATCTCTTTATTTTTGGGGTACCTGTACTTGCGATCCATAAGTAATCATCTCTCTTGGCACTTTTATGTATCACAGTTTATTAGTGTAATTTTCATAAACAAGGAACCCACCAAACGAATGGTTTCAGAACTAAATTCTGT